TGACAGACAGTTTGGAAAATCTAAACCTGAAAGCTGCTTTTTAGCTCGCATGAAGCTCATGAGGATCAGTGGCAGATCCAGACAAGACGACTTTTTGCTTTGCCAAATAATAAGAATATTATACCAGACAGTTAAACCACCGTTGAGTAACCTTGTGCCTGTTACTTAAGTTAACCCTGTGGAGGATGACACTGCTATAAACTAGTCAGGTTATTCCTAACATTTCAATACTTAACTAAAGGAATAAAGAGAAAGAATTTTGTTTGTTTCTACATCTCAGCTCAACTGGTTGATCTGGTTAATTTGCCTGTGTGTGTTTGGAACTTGTGAGTATGTGAAGTGTGCTGAATGCAGCTCGTTCTAATGAAAAAATGAAACAAAAACCATTTCAAACTGGGAGACATTTAAGCCCTTTGTTCACTGTGGCTGCACTGAAAGGGAAGTGCTACATAGTGCTAAAACTAACAAAGTACCCTACTGCTTCCTTTAAAATCTGCTCCTTTTGATGTTAGTCATAAATGAAAAATTCTTTGTGAAACTCGACTGAAAGCATCCTCATGTCACTGCCATCCATAGATAAGCGTACTCACAGACAGAGGAGCGCCGAGTTCAACGACCGTGGACCCAGAAGCGGAGGCTGTCAGATCACCTGGGATGGAGATTGGGTCTGGAGACATGGTGAGGGTCTTCAGCACAGCTGGAGCATCAGGCGGTCCGCAGTTCTTCCAGTCGAAACCCAAAACCTGCAAAATGCATAAAACAATGTTTAAACCTCAGATATTTCCCATCACGGTCAGAGCGTTCCCGCATTTCCGTACTCCAGGAAAATCAACTTGTTCAGACGTGAAAGCTGAGTGACGCAGTCCAAACACACAGCAATCAAAGCCTCATTAGATTCACGACTTTCATGTTTGTTTCTTGGATACTGTAGTTTTTTTTTTTTTTTTTTTTTTATCTCTAATGTTTCCATTGTGGATCCACTCTCTTCAGCTCAGTTTTTGTTTCCGGGTTTAGTTTAGAAGAGCTGTTACAGCTCGGCAGTCTCAACCCTGGACCTCGCCGAGCCCCCACACGCACGTGCAGTTTTAAGGCTCTACGACGACTTCGGCAGGTTTCACGGATGAACCGTCCACATTTAGTACGTGAGGTCCCCTAAAACAGCACAGTGGGAGCTTCGGTGTGGATAAATAAAACCCGCACAGAGGCTTTGGTACCCGGCGGGATTTGGCTCACCTGTACGTTCCTGACCTTCTTCCACCCGAAGGAACCGCAGCTCACCTGAGCTAAAGTGGCAGCTACGAGCACCGTTACCGCCACACGTTTGTCCATCCTCACGTTTGTGCCACAGTTCCACAGTGCCTTTAAACAGAGCGTCGACGGCTTATACCTTGCAGCACTTCCGTGTTTATGATCGCGCTGACCGTAGTCACGTGACAAAACAGCGAGTCTTCTTCTTTATATTGTTTATTGGCGGTTACCAAACAGCAAAATGGTGCATTACCGCCACCAGCTGCTGTGGAGTGTGGACAGAAATGAAAAAAATAAATAAATACAAAATTTAAATCCTCGCAAACAAATCAGTCTGCCTTAAAAATTAAATAAGGCCTGATAACTTTCACTTCTCGAGTTCTTACGAAATAAATCAACCAAGTCCAGTTTCACTTTCATATCAGCAAGCTTTTCGATCAGTTGTCTTCTCTCAGCATCATATTTCTGACAGTGCACTGAAACATGCTCTATTATTTCTTCTTCTCTATTGCAGTCACACTTACTGTACGATGTTTTCCTATTAAAAACAACATGCTATTCAAACCAGCGTGCCCAAATCTGAGTCAGGATATAATCGTCTACTCTCTCCTGTTCCTTCCTGTGCTTCTCATTTCGCTGTTTCCTGTCTTCTTCCCATTGCTTTTGCCACCTTTCTTTCATTTTGTGCTGTATTTTGCTCTTAATCTCTGTCCTACTGCCCTTATCATTTCCCTTAACTCCATGATGCGGTGGTACCCATAAGACAGTGACCATAAACCCCACCATAGTAACTCTGTATAACTGTTTGGTGAATCTCCATCAGAA